TGGCTATGGTGGACCTGTTGTTGTGTCAGCAGTAAGAGGGAACTTCAGATATTGATTTTGGTTCATCCACTCATTATTATTATTAGTATTGGAAGAATAATAAGATTGGCGAAGTGAAGGAGGAGGAGGAAGGTGGAGAGAGAAGGGGGGTTTGTCATTGGTCTTGCTGGTGTACATCTTCTTCTTCTTCTTCTTCTTCTTCTTCTTCTTCTTCTTCTTCTTCTTCTTTCTCTCTTCTTTGGTCTCTATCTCTCTGCAAGCGCTTTCATTTCTTTCGCAATTGGGTGACATTGTCTTTTCTTTTGAATTTGCACTTTTGAAGTGTCCTGGATCGTAACAATTGGTATCGGCGTGGACTTACTTGCTGGCGAGAGGTGTTAGTCACCCTAACCCTAATTCCGAATTACGTTAGGGCTAACCTAATCTCGGATTAGGGTTGGAGGTTAGGGTTAAGAGGGGCAGTGAGGTATGTGGATGCTGCGCCTACCTGGTTAGGTCATGTAGGGTCGACATCAGACCTAACCAGGTTGTTTGAGCGATTGAATGGAGTGGCGAGACACAAAGGAGGCTGATTGGAGTAAGCGAGAGGGATTAGAGAGTGAGAGGTACTTGCACCTGGAATCTGGACTTCAAGAAGACATTGAGTGACTTTTGGGTTTCCCCTCAAGAGGGAAACTTGATCGGAGGCTGCCATATCTGCATCGAAGAGCTGCAAGTTGCTACTTTGGTCTTCAACATCGACGGAAGATCCGGCGTTGTAACATGGGTGTAGGAAGGCCCTCTTAGTCATGCTAGGACACTTCGTGTAGTGGTAGCTAGGGGTTAGGAGGACCTACGAGAGAGGGGAGTGAGTCGTTATCCATCTTTGGAGGCCGGGCCTCACAGGTAAGTGTCATGTGACTTGGGTATGCCCATGGGTGGTTGCTTGGTGCTTCATGCCCTGTTGGTGTGTGCTGGGCTCTCTTCCTCTTCTCTGCGGTCTTGGTTGTGTGTGTGAGCATGTGGATTGCTTTCTCACCTGATGGATGGATGGATGATGTATCTTGTTCTCAATGACAGAACAACGAAATCAAGAGCTGCTGGTTGAGATTGCAGGCCTCAAGCAGGCCCAACTGACCGTCCCTCGTCCTCCTCGTCCTGCTGCAGTCCCAACCTTTCCCCCTAACCCAGTCCTCATGCAAAGGTCAAGTGGAACTGTGACTTGCGCAGGAACCAGTTCAAATGCAGGATCATCGGCCCAACGCCGCAGTCCTTGTTGGTGTACAATACAGCAGTCCCATGGTGGACAAGAGGGCAGCCACGCTGCCATCCAAGTATGACGGGAAGGGGGACATCACCTCTTGGATCAGCTCCATGCACTCATACTTCGAGGTACTGCGTACGCCTCAGGAAGATTGAAGTATGATCATGGGCACGAACACTGAACCCGCTGTACAGAGTTTTATTGAACTCCAAGCTGTTAATGCAGGCTACAAAAGGATTGACCTGATTGAGTGGCTGATTGAGTGGGCACGCAGTGCAAGATTGTTATCGTCTATGGGGAAACAGACAAAGGGCGTAGAAGAGTCATCAACACTCTCTACAACAAGGGAAGTTGAACAATCAGCTGCAGGCCCCTCCAAGGAGCCTGAATCTGATTAACAGCCTGCTCTTGAAGCCCGGACCGATGCCGAAACCAAGGCTGCCGCAGTTCAAGTACTTTACATTGAGCCTTGGGAGAAGACTAAGGAAGTCAACTTCCATTCCCACCTGGAACATTGGCTGCAGCTCAAGCAGCAACACCGTGTTCAAGGGGGAGTGAAACTGATCTTCTTTAAGCTGCTCATCAACCGCCGAAATTTTTTCTCCTAACGAGATTCGTAAGGCAGGCCTGTGAATGAAGCAAGTGGAAAACAGAACCCTTGTCAGACCAAGGTAGGCAATTGTGATATTGTCACCTCAACACATGTTGTCAAAGGTGTGCGCGTCACCTTTAACAAAGATCACATTGTCACTCATGAGTTGAATTTATATGTCCTCGACAAGTGTCCCTTCGACGTGGTCATCGGTTTGGGCTGGTTAAAGGCCCATTGCCTAAGGACTACGTGGGCGGATACTCAGTTCGTGGTGCGTGACGCCAAGGGGAAAGAGCGTACGGTCTTGTTGGATGAGATGCGCCAGTCCCCAATGACTCTTTGACTGCGAACAAATTCTGCAAATCAGTGCGCACGTGCAAAGAAGGTGAGCATGTGCATGTAACCCTTATGAAGCCTCTCCATGTGCCTTGAGCTACAGCCAATGTTCCAGGTGGGAATGGAAGTTGACTTCCTTAGTCTTCTCCCAAGGCTTAGTGTGAAGTACTTGAACTGCGGCAGCCTTGGATTTCGGCATCGGTCCGTGCTTCAAGAGCTTGATGAGATTTAGGTTCCTTGGAGGGGCATGCAACTAACTGTTCAGCTTCCCTTGTTGTAGAGAGTGTTGATGACTCTTCTACGCCCTTCGCCTGTTTCCCTGTAGACGATAACAATCATGCACTACGTGCCCAGGCTTTTCACAATGCAAGCACAAGCGCAGTTTGGATCTGCTTTCCCATTGTTTTTTACCGATGTGGGGGTTTCCCAAGGCTTGGTGGGAGCATCCTTCGGCTTCGCAGGATTTTTGAATTGTTGCAAGACATGTTGGACACGAAAGCAAGACGCAAAGAAGTGGGTGTCCGGTCTCCTTCCTGTATTTATTATGGAGTAAATCAACCAAGGGTAGCATTGTCGAAATGCGCGTGGAAAAGCACTTAGTCAAACCAAGCAACAGGAGGAGAGTCAATTATATGTGGAGAGAGAAAGAAGAAAGTCCATCTCTCATTTCTCAATCACAAAGATGAAAATAAAAGTCCAAAAAGCAAATAAACGGAATAATCTATAAAATAAAGTATACAAAATGGGAATTCAGCCTACTCTAGAAAAATTCTCTATATCTCATCATTTTTTTGTTTATATGTTGTACCCAACTCACTCTCTATTAGCATAAGAAAGAAATCATTTAGAATAACAGTCAATTTAATAAATGATCTAACATTTCCAAATATTTGGTGGACAAATAGGACCAAATGGTACTAGAGCATGGATTGAAAAGATATGCAATGTTTTTAACACTGAACCAATAGGCTTAGAAGAAAGAGAAAATAGAATATGGGATGGACTAAAAGAATATTTAGATTTAGCTACAAGAAAATCTGTATTTTTTATGGGAGATAATTTGTTAGAAATTTCTTTGGGGGAGGCTCCATCTATTGGTGGGGAGCGACACCTGCTGGAAAACGACTTCAGCGTCTCTTACATGGACAAAATTTGAACCATATAAGAAAACAGAGATGCAGAATATTCCTGCTAGCATTGATTACCCTGGGGTCCAGGGGATTGATTGAGCAAGATATTGGGGAGGGGGTGTAGCGGAACCACCAGGTGTGGTGCTCCGCTAATGATAGAGATGGAGATGGAGAAAGAAGGGGGGAGCAAGATGCACAACGCAGCTCCCCACGCAAGACTCCAACGCACGTACTCCAAAATGTGCGAGTGTAGAATGAGCCCGAAAACAGACAACTGTTGGGGTATACCCCAGCNGCAAGACTCCAACGCACGTACTCCAAAATGTGCGAGTGTAGAATGAGCCCGAAAACAGACAACTGTTGGGGTATACCCCAGCGGACTGACGGGACGAGACTGAACTGGACTGGACTCGCTGGTACCGACAAAGGTACCGGCCTGGCCTGGACTGGACTGCCCCCGAATAGAACACAGGCCTGTGAGAACAGGCCGAGGGGCTGGTCTCACAGGCCAACCAAAGGTCCGCTACACGATCCTCGGCCTGTGATGGATCGCCTAGATACAAACACGCTTCCGCCAAGAAGCGAAACTCTACTAAAGAAAAAGAAAACCTGAGTAGTCTAGGATGCGGAGCAAGCTCCATGCTGAGTCCATGCGATGCAACCTAGGATATAAAATGTCACAAAACAGCAATGTCACAGCTAACAGCCTAAGTGAAAGCAAAAGCAACTGACTAACATGCATGTCCTAGGAAAGCAAAAGCAACTAACTAGCATACATGTCCTGGGCAAGCAGAAAGTAGTGACAACTAGATCCTAGAATGTTGGAGGCAGTAGCCTCAGTCTGGGAACAACTGACTAGTGTATAAGTCCTAAGAACAGCAAAAGCAGAACAGCTAAATCCTAAAAATGTCAGAGGCAGTAGCCTCAGTCTGAGAGCAACAAAGCAACAAGTCAACCATACGTCACAGGAGAAGTGTGTCGCAAACCAAAGGGTGGGATGGTCTCTGAGGGTGGCGAATGCAGCCTAGGGGTCGAAACTCCTAAGGGCATCCACACATAGTGACAGGGGGAAACACATGTCATCAGGCTCAACGAGGGTAGGGAACTGGGAGCGAACAAAACCAATGACCCTAATAGATAGACCATCAGGGCGGGTAATGCTCGACTAAGGGGTGACCGCTATGGAGGGTCGACCATGCAAGGGAACAAGGGAGCCTGGTATACTGGGCGCACCTAGATGAAGCATGCAAGGCTGCCTAACTAGGGCGTGAGGGTCAGCGAAGGGTAGAAAAATGATGGGTAAGGGAATCATTCAAATGACTCCTAAAGTGAGGGAAGTCGGAGCTAGATCCGTAAGATGGGAAGCCAGGGCAACGCTACGGTCCCGATGCCTATGCGTATACCAAGGGAGAGCCCAACTCAGAGGAACCCGGCTAAAGGGAGACCATCACGCGACACAAGCGGGGTACTGTACAGGGTAAAGTGGTAAGAGAGTGGCGGCGTCTGAAGTAGGCAGAGCTGATCGTGACGAAGCCCATGAAGCGGCCGATGACGTCCACGATGAGAAGTCCAGAATGTCGTCGAGGAAGAGCCGCAACGTCGACGAGCGGAAGTAGCAAAACTGGAGTGGATGGAGTACTGTGAAGTCAAGGACGTGGGAAGGTAAGTCAGAGTCAATCGTCGTATCGAGCAGGACGACGACGAGTGCGCTGTGGACGCTCAGAAGCATCCGGCTGCTGCTGAAGGTCTGCCTCAGATGGGGCAGGCTCGACTTCAGCGGTCTCCTCAGCCGGGGGAGAAGGAGGAGGGTCAGTGGGCTGAGGAGGAGCAGTGAACCCAGCACGACGMGCACGGTCATAGGCACGCACCAACATGCGAGCGTGCTGCAAGTGCTCGAGGGGCTCCCAGGTAGCCTCCTCATCAGGGTAACCCTTCCAACGTATGAGATACTCGACGTGGGGAGGGTTGTCGTCGGTGACTCGACGGCCAATGATGTCTGAAACGAGGAACTCCTCGTTGCCATCCACCATGATGGGTGGAGGGCGCTCGTATGGTCGTCCAGCGAAACGCTCAGACGGTCTGCGATAAGAACATTGTAACGAGACGTGATAGACATCGTGCACTCGAGCCTGGCGCAGATAGTCGGGCAGCTTCACACGGAAGCTGACCGGGCCAGAAGCCGTATCAGAACCGACGGCCTGGAGGATGCGGCATGGGTCAAAGAATCGACACCGAAACTTGTGAATCGTGTCCGCTTCGAGCTGTAAGTGGCGGGCGTCGATAAGCACATCATCACCAACTTTGAATGGATGATCCATCCTCGATCGGTTCGCACGTGCTGCCATGCGAGTCTAGGAAGCGGCTATGTGCTCATGTGCGGTCTTCATGATCGACGTCATGTGTGCAACCCAATCATCCAGCGCGGGACAACTCGTGTCGGGGTGCAGCTGGGACGGTCGAAGGAAGTCCGCGGGAACACGTGGGTGATAGCCGAGTGCGCAATAGTAAGGCGACATCCCCGTGGCTGGCGAGATGGCGTGGTTGTAGGCTATCTCCGCGTGGGCAAGATGGAGACCCCACTGCTGGTCGTCACGAACAATCTTTCGGAGAATATCTCCGAGAGTCCTATTCGTGATCTCGGTCTGACCATCAGTCTGAGGATGGTAAGACGAGGAGAAGCGGAGCTGAGTGTTGTACACCTCGTGGAGCCGTCGCCAGAATCGGCTGGTAAAGCGTGGGTCACGGTCATATATGATGCTCAGAGGTAAGCCGTGGTCACGCACAACTCGGTTAAACACGATGTCGGCGACCTCACGTGCACTGATGGCATAGCGGCACAGAACAAAGCGTGCACGCTTCATGAAGCGATCGACGACGACCAGGATAGCATCATGACCGCTAGGGGTTGGAGGACGAAGGGGGCCGATAAAGTCCATCGAGATGGACTGCCAACGACCCTCAGGGATAGGAAGAGGCTGGAGCAAACCATAAGGCAAGTGGTTCGCACTGTTCACCTCCTGACAGGTGGGACACTATGTGACATAGTCCTTCACAAAGTCCTTGCGCTTCAGCCAGACATACAGGCGGCTCACACGAGCCAACATCTTCTGGAAGCCCATATGACCGGCGACTGCCTGGTCATGGAACTCTGCTACTGCGCGGACACGTAGCTGTCCAGTGGAGGGAACGCAAATACGGGGCTCTCTGGTGCCCTGTGAACCGTGCCAATACACGAGACCGTTGTCCCCGAGAGAGTAGTTCGGGACGGTCTTGCCAATCCGAAGGGTCGCGTGGATGTCGCGATAGTCGGGGCAGTGCCGGTACTGAATGCGAAACTCGTCGATCACCGAGTGGTGGACAGTGGTGACCGAGATGGAAGAGAGCTGGATCTGCTTCTCGTCGTGGTCAGGGCGCCGCGATAAGGCATCTGCGACCCGATTAGTCTCACCCTTGATGTGCTCAGTGGTGAAACTAAACTCGGATAGGTCGCGCCACCAGCGAGCGTGTCGAGTAGTGAGCTTCGGTTTTGTCAGAAAAGCCTAGACAACGAAGTTGTCCGTGCGCACCGTGAATGGTGCCCCGTGCAGGTAGTGACGCCAATGCCGAGCGGCATAAACTACTGCGAGAACCTCACGTTCATCAGCGGTGTAGTTTATCTCAACGGGCAGGAGCTGACGGGAGTAGAAGGCTATCGGACAATCACCTGAGCGATACTCCACAGTGTCGTCCTCGGCGATGGTAGGAGAATAGTCAATAGAAGGCTCGTCAGTAGTTAGACGAGTAGGCGTCAGTCGGGAAGCAGTGGCAGGGGTAGGTGGTGGGAAGCGAGAGATACGAGGATGAGAGGAATCAGGAGAGGAAGGGAAGACCTGAGAAAGCATTGGTCCTACAGCGAAGTCTGACGCATCGGTGGTAAGGATAAAAGGGCGGTCAAAATCAGGTAGGTGAAGAACCGGTGCGCATCTCACCACCTTCTTGAGGGCGCGGAAGGCCTCCTCGTGGAGGGGTGTCCAAGCCCAGGGTGGGTTCTTCCGGAGGAAGGTGGAGGTAAGGATGTAGGAATACCTAGCGTATCCCCCAATGAAATTACTATAGTAGCTGGTCAGGCCTAGGAAGCTGCGAAACTGCTTGGCGGATGTGGGAGCGGGCCACTCCGCAATAGCAGTGATCTTCGCGTCGTCCATGTGGAGACCCTGGTCAGACACGTAGTGTCCTAAGAAATCCACTTTATGCTGGGCAAAGCGGCACTTGCTCAGCTTGGCGTAGAAGCCATGTCTGCGCAAGCGGTCAAGGACGTCGCGGAGGTGTCTGAGGTGCTCCTCAAGGGTACGACTGTAGACCAGGATATTGTCGAGGTAGACGAGAACGTACTGCTCCAGTATGTCCCTGAAGATGTCGTTCATCGCCCTCTGAAAGGTAGCGGGTGCGTTGGTGAGGTCGAATGGCATCATCGTGAACTCGTAGTGGCCGAATTGCGATCGGAACGCGGTCTTCGGCTGGTCGGCTGCAGCGACGCGGATCTGATGGTAACCGCTACGAAGATCAATCTTCGTAAAGAAGCGGTTGCCTGCTAGGCGGTCGAACAGCTCATCGGAACGGGGCATGGGGTAGCTGTTCTTAACCGTGTAGCGGTTGAGACCGCGGTAGTCGTTGTAGAGACGAAGAGTTCCATCCGCTTTGCGAGCAAAGAGGACGGGTGCACCCCACGTGGAGTTGCTGGGTTTAATGAAACCCAGTCTCAGGAGCTCCTCAAGCTGACGCTTGAGTTCGATGGCCTCAGGGATCGAGAGTCTGTAGGGTGCTTGGTGGTGAACACGATAGTCAGGCACAAGCTGAATGGAGTGCTCGACGTCACGCATCGGTGGGATGTCGGCGTACGAGAACGACGATGGGAAAACGTCGTGGTACTCTCGGATGAGGTCACGAACTGCGGGCTCCAGGTCAGCCGTATATCGTGCAAGTTCCTCAGCATCAGCGTCAACGCGCAACGGCGGTGTGGACTCGACGGACGGCGGAGGGACGGAAGTAGAGATGGGAGCCATGGAGATAAAAGGAGGATCTCGCTCCAGAGGGATGAGCTCGACGTCGAGACAGGGTGGATCATAGTGTAAGAGATCCATCACGTTCACCATAAAGAAGGTGACGTCGTCCTGTCGGATGAAGTGGGCGAACTGCCGAGGCGAGGTGACAGTGATAGGAGGTGGTGTGGGCACGAAAGGCTTCGGGGGAGGAGGATGGGGGCGTGGTGCCGCGGTGGTACCTATGAAAGGTACGCGATACGTCTGTCCACACTTCGTTTTGAGAACGAGAGTGTTGGTCGCCCAATCGGCCTCGGTGCTGCGGAACCGACGAGACCACGGAGTGCCGAGAATGAAGTCGTACCCGGTCTCCATCACATCGAAATGTGCAGAGGAGCGGTGGCGACGAGACGCCGGCGGACGATCAGTCGGCTCGAGAGTGAGGAAGAAAGGGAGGTCGGTGACCGTCTGATCGAAGAAGCTCTGGGTCTTGTCATCCCCTAGGGTGACAAAGATGGGAGTCGGAGACCCGGTCGTGGGTAAGCGGGCTTCTTTCACCGCACGTGGGTGAATGAAGTCGCCCTGAGAGTCGGAATCCCACAACGCTGAGTACACCCTCGTGGAGGTCCCCAGTCGTACGGGGATGATCGGGAGGTTGCGATCAGGGTCAAAGAGGATAGTGAGAAGGCAACGCATGGCAGCGACATAGAGGGTGAGTCGCTCCTGACGAGCCTGGAGCATGCTCAAGTCCAGAAGAGAGGACACAACGTCCTCGCGAGTCGCAAGCTGCTCGCTGCAACGGGCTGAGCGGATGGCTCGACGCGTCGGTAGTCGCGGTGGGGAAGGAGGGGAGACGGTGGTCTGCGGAGGCGCAGACGGTACTGCGACAGAGGGCTGAATACACTCTGTCAGATCCTGCGAGACCTCAACTCCAGTAGCGAGAGGGGCAAACCGCGACGGGGATGTCGGGAAGCCGACTACTGAGGAGGGCGCAGGTGTACACTGCACCGTGGCTAGGAGGCGTCACGGGGCTGCGAGGCGTCGGGGGGGGACTGAGCACGACGCTGGCGGGAAAGGTCAGCGTAGTGGCGGTCAAGGGCGGTGGTGTAAGGGCACCGTGAGGAGGTATGACCGTCCTGACGGCATCGCAAACACCCACGTCGGCCCAAAATAGCCGCGCACTCCTCAGCGGAAAGGACACCGCGAGGAGGAACAAAGCCCTGAGGGAGGTCCTGCTGAGGGACCTCGGGAGGCGTCGCGCCAGCGTGACCAGGGCGGCTGCGTGCCCGGGAAAGGGTGGAGAGGATGAGCTGGAGGCGCTCAGCCATAGGGAGAGTAGGGTCCTCCAGGTGGTGCTGGACGGCCTCGCCAAGGTCGAGGTCGTCGCTATGGTCACCCTTTGGCGACAGCGGGGCACCAGCGTCCTGCTCACCATACTCGAGCGCGCTGAAGCGGCACGAGAAGTGGCGGCCCTGCTGCGTGGGACGGCGGGGGCGACCGCGGAAAGGGGAACGGCGCTGGGAAGTGTCGTGAGAGGAGGAGGAGGTGTAACCAGTACCCTGTGGCTGGGAGGAGGAGGCGGGGTGAAGACGCGCCCACATCCGCTGATGGTCCCTGGCGGCCTCGTAAGCCTGCGGGGCCGATGTGAACTCGTACCGCCATAGCTCGGAGCGGTACTCGAGTGGAATGCTGGCCAAGAAACGATCGATAAGGGCCGCCTCGGGGAGGAACACCATGTCACAAATGAGGCGGGCGTCCTGAAAGACCTGAATGTGGCGATCCAGGCCGGCAGTGCCACCAGAGCCGGACCAGCGTGTAGTGACGACACGCTCGAAGGCGTCAGTCACATCATTTCGGGCTCCGAAGCGATCCTCGAGGAACGCATGGAAGTCCATGAAGGTCGGAGTCCGACCCGCATGAACGGAGTAAGCGTAGAAATCCTCCCAGGCGTCGGAAGGACCGCCACGCAGGCGCGTGGAGAGGTGACCCACCCACGTGTCGGGTGTGGCACCCATGAGCTGGAGCGTGCGGGTGGCAGACTGTAGCCACCGAGACACGCGTATGCCTGTACCGTCATACAAGGCAATGTCCGTCAAGCGGACGAGTGGTGCGCCACCGTTTTGGCGGCGAGGAGAATGGGAAGCAGAGGACTGCGCTACGGCTGAATAAGTCGGCGCAGGTCCTGGAGGAGGAGGCACAACTGACTGTATGCCCGGGCCGCATGGTGGAGCGCCGGGGGAAACAGCGGCAGGCTGCACGGGAGCTGCGGTAGAAGAGGTTGCAGCAACCGAGGGGATGGGGAGGAGGTAGGATGGGGATGGGTGGAAGCCGAGGGAAGCGAGCCTGTATGGAAGGAAGAATAGAGGAAGAAGGGGGTGCGCCGGAAGGCGCGGCCACCTGCGGGGGTGAGGGTGGCTGAAGGCGTGAGAGGGCGAGGTCGGTCCGCAGCTGGGCCATCTCGTCCTCGAGACCTCGAACGTAGGTCGAGCGAGGTGTGGCAGGGGGAGACGCACGAGCGGCGCGAGGCATCCCACACGGGGGAGAGCCAGATGGCGCTGCGGTCGTGCGAAGAGGAGGGAGAAGTGGGGCACCCGGAAAAGCTGCGACCATGGTAGCGGGTTGTGGTACCGTGGCCGTAGTGACCGAGGTCTGGGTGGGTGCGCCCGTAGACTGAGGGAGGACCTGACTCGTGGCGGGCGTGGACGGTCACCAAGATGGCCGGGTCGGGAGCAGCGGAGGAGGAAGCTCCACCGTGGCCACCCTGTCGGAGGACGGGGGACACGAACTGGGACCAGGAGATGGAGGACACGCAGCGTCCTGGAGTTGTTGCACGCCGGCGGCAAGGGTCGCCACCTGCGCCTGTAAGGGCGCGAGGGTCGCGAGTTGCGCCTGGATGGGCGCAAGTAGGGAGGTGAGGAGGGTGTGCAGATCCCCCTGGGGCTGATGGCCCTGGTCCGTCGGCACGGTTGTTGAGCCCTATGCCTTGCTCGTCGCCGCGTCGGCGGCATGTGACGCGCCGTCGGCCATGGGGAGGTGACAGGCCGGGCTGGAGGGGGCCAGGAGAGGTCCGCGTGAGCGAGGGGCGTAGGGGGAAGTCCGCCGTAGAAAGCGGCGGACGACGCTAGCAAGACTGGCGCGGGCGCCGTCAAAGGGGGAGGGGTGGTTCGGGTCCAGGGTGCCCGAAGAGGACGGGGAAGGAGGGGGGGGTTGAAGAACCCTAAACCCTATAAAACCCCTAAGAAAACCCTAACCGGAGTTTGAGTGGTTAGGGTACGGTACCGGTGACCTAATCAAAAAAATAAAATAGGAAGCAGAAGGGGAGGGAGGCGGGAGGAAAATAAATAAATAGTGAAATTTCGAGAGAAAAATATAAAAAAAATAAATAAGAAAAATATTTAAAGAAATAAGTAAACAAAATATGAAGAGAGAAACAATATTTATTTTTTTGAAAATTTCGGCAGCATTTCCCTACCCCCCATGGGGTCAAGAATGCGCCAAGGGGAGAGGAGAGACCAAGGTGAGCACACTAGGTTTCAAGATGCCGCAAAAAAAAAAAAAAATTCAAAAAAAAAAAAAAAGAAATAAGAAATAAGGAAATAAATAAATAAGTAAATAAGTGGGTGAGGAGGTAGGGAGAAATGAAGTATCTGATTTGTCAAAAATTTCGGCCGCATTTCGTTACTGCCATGGGGTCGAAGTGTGCCGAGAAGACTAAGTGGAAGAAAAAACAAAAAATTTCGGCGACACTTCGTTACCCCCACGGGGTCAAAACGTGTGCCGAAAGTAGTAAAGACTAACACCTAATCAGATTTAGGGTTGCCGTAAAGAAAATCGAATTTTCAGAATAAATAAAAAAATAAATAAAATAAATCAAAAAAATGAGAAAAGAAGGTGGGGAAGAAGATAATTCGAATTTTGGGAAAAAAAAAAGAGAAAATATAAATCAAAAGGAAGATAGAAAAAAGAAAAACAGAAAAATTCGAAGTAGGGGGGGAAGGGGGGATGAGAAAGTGATGGAGAAAAGAAAGAAATAGGTGGGAGAGGGAAAAAGATGGAAGTGGAAGGTGGGGGGATGATGTGGTGGCAGTTGGGGGAGAGGAGGGTGAGAGAATGAGAGAGAAAGAGGATGGGGAAAGACGGAGAGTGATCAAGAAACTAAGGGGAAAGGTGGAGAGAAAAGAAAAGAAATGAAGAAAAGAGGGTAAGATAGTGGTTAGTGAAAGAAAAGGTGGGGTGGGGAAGGTAAAAAGAGGAGGGGAGAGAGGCAGTGGAAGGTGGGGGAAAGAAAAGGGGAGAGAGAGATGATACCTGGCCCTTGGTGTCTCCAAGGGCACAAGGTATACCAAGACCAGGAGGGTCTTGGCCTTCGCTGCAGCCAACCAACTGGAGGATGTAGGGGGGCTGAGATCTTGATCAACCCCTAGTTGCAGCACTGCAGATCCAGGGTGTGCTGTGTGAGCATACCCTGATGGATGATGATGATGATCTAGGGTTGGCTGATATCTTGATCAGCCACCCTACTGCCACAGTCACACAGCCCCCTAGCCAGGGGGAAATCTTGAGCTGCTGCAAAGCTGCTGCTGCAGCAATAGAGAGATAGTATAAAAAAAATAATAATAATAATGATGCTGTGGCGCAGCCCCCTAACCAGGAGGGTCTTCAGTCCACAGCAAAGTGCCACGTGGCACTGCAGGTGGCCACGTGCACAGGCAACAGCAGCCACGGGGGGGGGGTAAATACCAGCCTCTCCCGTTGCTGCCTCGGTGGTCGCTGCTCGCTGCTCGGGGGGGGGGGGGGGTAAATAGCCAGCACCTCTTCAACACGAGGTTGCCGTGCTACAACGCCATGCATAGACTGTGGCCAGTGTGTTATGAGGGTGGTACACGCACGCGCATGGCCAGCAGCTGCCAACGGCAGCATGCGTCCCGGATCTTGATTAATATAATCTAGGAGCGGGGCGGGGCGGGGCAGCGGGGCCGTGTGGCACGCGCGCGTGCGGCGGTCTTGGCCTTGGTGCACGCGCTCGTAGGGGCGCCTGCTTTTTTCACCACGTGTCACCTCCTGCAGGGGCCTCTTTTTCCCTGCGTTTTTGCTGGAAAACACCCAAAAAACAGCGAAAAAACCCGCTGTCGGGTTTTGCTGTTTTCCTCAGCTGTACAACTGTACGGGGTGGTGGGTGGGAGCGAGGAACGTTCCCGCTCTGATACCAATGTAGCGGACCCACCAGGTGTGGTGCTCCGCTAATGATAGAGATGGAGATGGAGGAAGAAGGGGGGAGCAAGATGCACATCGCAGCTCCCCACGCAAGACTCCAACGCACGTACTCCAAAATGTGCGAGTGTAGAATGAGCCCGAAAACAGACAACTGTTGGGGTATACCCCAGCGGACTGACGGGACTGGACTGGACTGGACTGGACTGGCTGGTACCGACAGAGGTACCGGCCTGGACTGGACTGGACTGGCTGGTACCGACAGAGGTACCGGCCTGGACTGGACTGAACTGCCCCCGAATAGAACACAGGCCTGTGAGAACAGGCCGAGGGGCTGGTCTCACAGGCCAACCAGAGGTCCGCTACAGGGGGGAACCTCTTCACCCTGAACCTGGCGCCAAATACCTGCTGCTACACCCTGGTTCCTCCCACCCCCTACCTTTAAGATATACCTTCTATTGATGTTGCTGGCCTACTCATACCACTCCATACCATTGCATGTCTACCATGGTCAGCCGATGGGGGGGGAAAGGTTCAGGAAAGTCCGAGGAGGCCGCAACGGGATCCTTTGATCCACTGTTGTCCAATCTTTGAAGTAGATATGATAGTCTCTCTTGATCATCCCTTGACTTCCATCCTCGATACCTTCGTTACCTTCCTGGGTGCAGCCGCCATCCCACTTGATGAAAGCAATCCGACCTCCGTTCTTGCTGCCCAGCCAGTCCCCTGAAAATTGTTGGATTTTCTGTTTTATATCTTTTTGTGTCTGGAACAGGTCCAGCTAAATTTTAACTTTCTGCCATTGTGCCATAAGATCTTGGTGTATGCATTTTTTACCTTGGAAAATAATTCTACTTTTACTACATCTACTTTTGTTCCATCTACTTCTACTATAAGAAATATTTTTAATCCAACTACTTCGAATTCGGTTGTTATTGCTGTAAATTCTTCAAACTGAAGTGCAAACCTGCTATTTCAAACAGCCGCCTTAAACGAAAACCTGCTCGAACCCGTGAACGAAAGTCTGCAAGGAACCAAGGTGAAAACATGATTCCCGGCATTACGAAACGAGTCCATGGAAGTTTAGGTCTTGGAAGCACGTGTGTTCACTTGATTACAAGATCCAGGACACAGAGGGAGATATCAGGAGCCATCTGAAAAACAGAGCCAGAGAGAACGAGGATAGGCAAAAAGGCAATCAGCACAAAACTGAAATCTATCTGTTGTCTAAGCCTGGGCCTTCGCCGCCGCTTTCTCCTTCCGCTTCGCAACCTTGAGTACCTTTTTTACGATCTTCTGCTCCTTGACAAAGAACGCTCTCACGATCCTTTCTCTGACACAATTAGCGCACATGCTTCCACCGTATGCTCGACTCTCTTTTGTCCGAGGGACATCCTCTTGTAGTCCATAGGACGCCTATGGGGTATCCCAGGAAGTCTCTTGGGACACTTGCCGCATTTGGGTCCCTGCCCTCTCTTCCCGGGGTACTGGAATGTGAGACTTCTGCCTGGCGTCTTGACAACTCGCGTCTGATTGGACTTCATGGCGTGCGAGTGCCGCCTGCGGTACGTTAAACGCTACACCATGGTTGCTATTTGGTGCTGCACTGCTCGATGATCTGCTGAACGCTATGTGGAAAGGAAGGAGTCGGCCGCTATGCAATCCAGCCCCGCTAAAGCTATGGCGGTATGTGCGAAAGGGTCTTGATGAAATACCACTTGTCTGGGAGCTCGCGGGGGATTATAGGATTTCAGTTTGATGCATGCTATTCTGGAACTTGCACTGGGGGTAAGGAAACCCGGTGCCGAAGACACCCATTCCACCAGTGGGTTTTGGGGGCAGGTTTCCTTTAATCTCTCTTCTACCATGTCGTGCATCCCGTCGGCCAGGTTGTCGAATTGTATCTAGAAATTCTTGCTCATTAGTGCTTGTCTGTGCCGCGAGGAGCCCTGCAGAGCTGATCTGTTTGGTCTCCATTTCGATGTCGCCACAACCGATCCCTCACAATATAAGGCTTGGACTGATAGTTAGTGCAGAGAACCGTGACTGTGTTCTGTCCTCTGTGCTGGTAGGCCACTTTTGGCTCAGTGTCTCTCAAGTTTTCGATGCCTTTGAGAAGCTCTCTGACCCTTCTCCTTTTTCAGTTGGCGAGAGATGTTTCGGTTTTGCAGGGAAGGAGCAGACTATCGCGTGCTGTTCGTAGAATTCGTCTAGTACCCGAAGGTGTTCTTTCGGATATTCCCACACTTCCACTTCTTCCTCTTTGATGAACTCTGTGGTTACGACCAGTTTGAACCTTGTTTCTCTTATCTTGCGGTTGAGAACTGACTCGGATCCAGTTCTTGTTGAGGCCTCGATCTTGGCGCTGGGTTTTGGAAGCTTGTTGCTGTTGAGGTGGATGGTGAGTATGCCATGGTGTGGTGCGTGGTGCAGGATTTGTGCTTGTTGGGATTGCTGGTTGGCTGTGAGGATGGTAGGCTGAGATGTGTGGTGATACCTGGGAGATCAAGAGAAAGCTTTGTCCGAAGATGTGTCTTTAAGTACAGTGGAGGGAGTGTTGATGTGTGCAGAATTCTCTCCTACGGCTAGTGCGGTTGAAAAAATGGTTTAATGTTGGGTGGGGTTCCGGGCTGCCCGGCGGACCGGCGGGGGCCCGGGTGGGGTCCCGGGCGGCCTGGCCGGGCAGCGCACCCGGTCGGTCCCCGGCCCCCCCCAGCGCACAGGGCATTTCGGGGTTTTCAGACCCCATTTCGAATGGTGGTGGGCTCCCGCAGGCCTACCGGGTCCAACCGGCCCGAAAACCTGCGGCATCAAGCCCGATAGGCCTGCAAGAGCCCGTTTCAAAATTGCGGCGGGTCTGTGGCCGTCGATCCACCTTGATCAACGGCCACAGAGCCGTCGCAAGTTTCCCGCCCAGTTTCGATTGGCGGCGATCTTGCCCGCAGCCCGTCCGTGGGTGTTCGCTGGAGCTGCCCCCTTCGACCCGCCGCCCTTTGCTGTTCGCTAGAGCTGCCCCATTCACCCGTCATTCATCGTCGCCGTTCGCAGGAGCTCGTCTTCCTCACCCGCCGCCCATCGTCGTCGTCAGCTGTAGCCGGTCGTCGTCGTCCATCACCGTTTGCAGGAGCTTCCCCCTTCACCCGTCGCCGTTCGCAGGAGCTGCCGCCATTCTTCTTCTTCTTCTTCTTCTCCTTCTTCTTCTTCTTCTTCTTCTTCTTCTTCTTCTTCTTGCATCAGTCGACCTTCGGTAGTTAACGACGATCTTTATCTTCTTCGGCCTTTTGGCTGTTTGGGGCAGGGCACATCTCCGGCGACCTTAGGCAGTTGTCGCGAACGACGACCGAAAAAAAAAAAAAAGGTAGTCCTCCTCCCTCTCCTCCTCTCCTCTTCTCTTCTACTTCTTCTTCTTCTTCTTCCCCCACAATCTTTCTTCTTCTTCTTCGTCTTCCCCTTTGTCCCCCCCTCCTCCTCTTCTTCTTCTTCTTCTTCTTGCATCAGTCGACCTTCGGCAGTTAACGGCGATCTTTATCTTCTTCGGCCTTTTGGCTGTTTGGGGCAGGGCACATCTTCGGCGACCTTAGGCAGTGTCGCAAACGGCGAACGGAAAAAAAAAAGAAGGCCGTCCTCCTCCCCCTCCTCCGCTCCTCTTCTCTTCTTCTTCTTCTTCTTCCTTCTTCTTCTTCCTCCTTCATCGTCCTCATCCATCCTCCTTCGTCTTCTGCCTCCTTCTTCTTCCTTCTTCCATCACATCTTGCCATCCATCCATCCCATCTCACCATCCATCCCTTCTTCCTCCTCCTTCTTCTTCCTCCTTCTTCCTCCTTCTTCCTCCTCCTTCTTCCTCCTCCTTCCTCCTCCTTTCTCTTCCATCGCATCTCGCCATCCATCCCACCATCCCATCTCGCCACCCATCCCACCATCCCATCTCGCCACCCATCCCACCATCCCATCTCGCCACCCATCCCACCATCCCATCTCGCCATCCACCCCTTCGTCCTCCTCCTCCTCCCTCCTCCTTCCTTCTCCTTCTTCCTCCTCCTTCCTCCTCCTCCTCCTTCCGCCTTCTTCCTCCTTCTTCCTCCTTCTTCTTCCCCCCCCTTCTTCCTCCTTCCTCCTTGCTCTTCCTCCCCCTTCTTCCTCCTCCTTCTTCCTCCTTCTTCTTCCTCCTCCTCCTTCCGTCACATCTCGTCATCCATCCCACCATCCCATCTCACCATCCATCCCACCATCCCATCTCACCATCCATCCCACCATCCCATCTTGCCATCCATCCCACCATCCCATCTCGCCATCCATCCCACCATCCCATCTCGCCATCCATCCCTTCTTCCTCCTCCTCCTTCATCCTTCTTCTTCGTCCTCTTCCTCCTCCTCCTCCTTCCTTCTTCTTCTTCCTTCTTCTTCTTCATTCTTATTCTTCCTCCTCCTTCCTCCTCCTCCTTCTTCCTCCATCTGCTTCCTCCTTCTTCCTCCTCCTCCTTCCTCCTCCTTCCATCACATCTCGCCATCCATCCCTTCTTCCTCCTCCTCCTTCATCCTTCTTCTTCGTCCTCCTTCCTCTTCCTTCTTCTTCCTTCTTCTTCGTCCTCCTTCGTCCTCCTCCTCCTTTCCCCCCCCCCCCCCCCCCCCCCCCCTCCTCC